CTGTACATTAATATGAATAGACATCTGACTATTTTACAGGATAGACAATATAAACATATTTAAAATTAAAGGAATTGAAATGTACATTGTGCCTTGGTTTAGTGTCTGGAAGAGTCCTGTCTCAGTCCATTTTAGATGATGTGAGAGGGCGGGTGTGTGTGTTTAGGGCACGGATGGCTTGAGGATGGGCCCGGTGGTGCCAGTGTCCGGCAGCTTCGCCTCTGTCAGTGCGCCCCAGGGTGTCTGTGGCTACAATGTAGCTGCCATCACCAGTGTGTGAATGTGTGTGTGAATGGGTGGATGACTGAATGTAGTGTAAAACGCTTTGGGGTCCTTAGGGACTAAGTGAAGTGCTATACAAATACAGGCCATTTACCATTCAGGGATTGTGGACATTCAAAAACCTTTTTATTTACACAGGCCTACAATACGTTTTTTTGTTCTGTTCTGTTTTTGTTTCATTCTGATGTTTTTCACTGCCTTAAGGGATTGTAAACTTACTTTTTGTGTTTCTTTATTTTCTGTGCTAACGACATAAAGTTTTGATGTAATATAGTACTATATAAATATAATTGTCATTTAAAAAAATCTAATCAAAGCATAAAGTCTGCTACTGTTGAATGGGGAAAATAAGTTGCACATATAATCTGGTAAACACAGACACGAGAAATGTAATGGAACAAAATTGGGAGCAAGTGCAGTGTACTGTGTCAGTAATTATACTGTATTTTTTGCTGTATTGTAAATATAAAGGAAAAAAACATTGAAATTAATGAATTCTTTATCTAATATTTTATTAATATCTGTTACTATCTAATGTGACTTGTTAATTTTATGTTTAAAAAAAAGAGAAAAGAAATATATGAATATAATGCAAGCACTAGTCCAAACAAACGTTTTGGTTACCGCTTCTCATCCAAGCATTAAAGGCTACTGTAGAGACCCTGTACTTTTTCAATTGAAATTATATAAGAAATGAATGTATTTCTTTAAATTACTCACGCTATTTCAATAAACTTTACTTCATAAGAAGAGACTTTAAATTATTGTAGAAAGAAACCCAAGAAGTGGTGCATTAGAAAACATTTGGTTACAGTTAGAAAAAGAAAACTCAGAATAAGACTCAGAGTGGGTCCGGTAGGTATTATGACTTGTTTGGATGATACAGAATTGAGACAGAAAAGAATCTTTTACTTTAATTTTTGATTAAGTTTAAAGTTTAACAGGTCCATTACCCAAAACTACAGCTTTGAAAACAGTGCATTAAATAGGGATGTAGCAAGTCTCTGAATAGATCTGCGTCATCAAAAATGTGCAAAGATGTTAAACAGGAACTGAGACCTATTTGTCTTAAAGAAACTGAAAAGTTTAATTCAACATTATTTTACAGTAATGAACAGGTGTTTTAAGTCAAGGATGTGGGAACAAAAAATGTACTCACCTATAATTCAGATCTTAAGAGATCTCTGCCATGAGCTCATCCAAAAACCAGAGTGGAGGCAGATGAAAATCAAACTTAACTGACCAGGAAGACACTCTACTTCCTGTCTGAGGCCTGTGGGTTTGGTCTGACTTAAGCAGACATGTACAAACTGCTGATCACAGCATCATGAATCTCATGACAAATTTCATCACCTCCCATTCAATCAGTTTCTATAAAGGAAGCGCTGATAATTATAAAACAACACCATTTTTCTATCAACTCACACTCTAAATCATAATTTCCCAATGTCCACATTGTAGATTTGGGGTATAGTTGGGTACTTGAAAAAGAAACATGCTGAGATATTTGTTGGCACAAAAGAGACTTCAAATCATGTGTCCTAAGTGAGATGTAATTGGGATGTCACTCGGTTTGCATTAAATTATAAATTTTAAATCAGGTGCCCCACTAAAAACTTTCAAAGTCACTTACACTGTGAGTGTTAATATGTTTATGGTGTAGTAAAGTACAGTATGTCCCTATTAAATTAGCACCAACTGGCTCACTAACCCCACTAGTAGGAAAATGCTGAAATTCTTGCTTCCAATTCAACACGTCTCATTTTGCTAGTGAGTGTGGGTGGGCGCTTCTTACCAGGGAGTAATCTGAGGATTCATCACCCTGAAGTCTGAAAAAATGTTTCAAGGAAGTGAAGCAATCTAACTCACCATAGAAGAAGTGACCCAAGGAGACAAATGATCCACTACCAAGCGAGGAGAAGGTATTAAAGCCAGACAACTCTATTTTCCACCACTGCGACCCACACTGAAAAAAATGCAATAGGGTGGTTGTTGAATTTGCATAGAATTACTTCATATATCCAGCATGACTAATTTAAATTTCACATCTAAACAAATTTTTGTCTTTTAATTTTCAGATATTCTTTAAGAATATTCATTCTTTTAGAACAAATCATGTTGAAAAGAAACAAGTTAGTCGTGTTTTATCCTCAAGCTCCGCCCCCTGGAAAGGAAAAATCGGCTGCACTGTCCGCCATTTTTGTCTCTCGCTTTGGAAAATCTACTACCATCTGGAGTTTTACACTTGAAGGTAAATACGATTTTAAAGCTAACAGACCAGTGAGAAAGAGTGTAGACCCTTTATATACAGTGGGGCAAAAAAGTATTTAGTCAGCCACCGATTGTGCAAGTTCATAGTTGAACACCTCTCTATGCTCTGACAGTATTCTGCTTCTTTGCATGGAGATTTCACTTCAGAAATGCATTACCTTTTTGAGCATTCTGAGGACTCAAATCACATGCTGTAATGAATACATTTTTTTTCACCTAATGTGTTACTGTTAACATTTTTTGGAATAGTGACACAGATTAAAATAAGATTTGGTATAATGTTCTTTGACCAGTGTTCTGTTTAATTAGATTTTGGAATTCTGCATTTACTAGGCCACAGATGAAGCCATTATCCAACGATCTAATAAGGAAACAACCATGGGAATTTACATCATAAAGTCAAGAGATGCCAATGGCAGCCCTGAGGACATCGGGATAGTCCTTGAAGGCCAGAGAGTCTGGCAGGATTTGGATAACTATACCCTAGCAGCTGCAATGCTGTTTGGACTAATGTACACTTTGAACCTCACTTACCCACTGGAAAAGTATACCTTCGAGGTATTATAGAAACTGGTTATGGAGCTCAAAAGGAACAGCCTTTCAAAGAAGGCCCAGGTTTTCAGGACCAGACTGTACGATTGAACAGTTTTCAAGTCAAGTCAAGTCAAGTATTTATTTATTGTCATTGTCAAAGAACAATGAAATTGCGTTTGGGGCTTCCGTACAACCCGTAAAAAAAAACAAATACCCCTTAAAACCCAAGTGTAAATATTTAACCCAGTGTGACTTCAGTGCAATGAGACAATCCTTAGCAACAACATGAGAACAATACAGGTAATGTTCATAGGACATTCAGACAAAGACCGGAGAAACATGACAAAATGCAACAATGCAACCCGTTCACACAGGAGCTCATTTTCCACTCGGCACTCGATGAGAGCACATCTCTGCCAGTCCAACTGTTGCCAGCTAACCTAGCTTACAGTTTTCTGTGTGCCACACCTGAAGAAGACCGTGTACGGTCGAAACGTTGTGTTTTTTGTGTTTATTTTTAAATAAAGTTTTTTTTGGCACACCTTCTTTTGTTGTTAACTGTTTTTACGTGACTTTTTCCTTTCCACATTTTGGAAAGCGTTTTTTGTTCACATTAAAATTAAATAAATATTTTTTGAAGCACATTTAATTTTTTTTGGAAAAAAGAAAAGAAGAAAAAAATACTGGACGCCATGGACGACGGCTGGACGGTGGTACGCTATGGCCGCCGCCGCCAACGTGACCGCCAAGTCTTCTGGGACGGGTACAGAGGGCCGCAGGGAGGGATGGACCGTGCACGCTCCTTTTCCTTTCGGAGAAGGGATTATCTTCCCCATCATAACCCTAAACCTCATGTCCAGGATGCTAACATAATCCCTTTTTCAGGGCACCAAGTCGGGGACATGGTTCCTTGAGCCGGGAGCAGGAATGGCCTGTGCATTGGTGCCCGATTGCCTTCGGCAATCGAGCCCCCATCTTACCTTCTCCTAACCCTCTGAAATATGGCCAAACTGGTGGCAAGTGGCATCTTGGCAGCTGCACGCTTGACTTTTCTCAGTTCATGGGCAGTTATTTGGCGCCTTGGTTTTTCCACACACGTCTTGCGACCCTGTTGACTATTTTGAATGAAACGCTTGATTGTTCGATGATCACGCTTCAGAAGCTTTGCAATTTTGAGACTGCTGCATCCCTCTGCAAGATATCTCACTATTTTTGACTTTTCTGAGCCTGTCAAGTCCTTCTTTTGACCCATTTTGCCAAAGGAAAGGACGTTGCCTAATAATTATGCACACCTGATATAGGGTGTTGATGTCACTAGACCACACCCCTTCTTATTACAGAGATGCACATCACCTAATATGCTTAATTGGTAGTAGGCTTTCGAGCCTATACAGCTTGGAGTAAGACAACATGCATGAAGAGGATGATGTGGACAAAATACTCATTTGCCTAATAATTCTGCACTCCCTGTAGATGAGTTTTAAGTAGTGATTTAAAAGTGGTGAGACAGTGTGTGGTCCGTAGAGCAAGTGAAAGTGCATCCAAAGTCTCGGGGCAGAACAACTAAAGGCTCTGAGTCCCGTGGTAGTCAGGCGAGCAGGTGGAACAGACAGAAGGGAAGCTGAAGAAGAGCGGAGTGTACGAAGGGGTGAGTATGTATGGAGAAGATCAGATAGATATGGAGGAGCAAGGTTATGAAGCGCTTTGAAAGTGAGAAGCAGGATCTTGAAATTGACATGGAGGTGAACTGGGAGCCAATGGAGCTGTTTAAGAACAGGTGTTATATGTTCAGTGGATCTAGTTCTGGAAATAATACGAGCAGCTGTATTTTGAACTAACTGCAATTTATGGAGGGATTCATGAGGTAAACCATAGAGAAGAGAAGTACAGTAATCCAGACAAGATGTGACAAGAGCATTGACAAGTATGGCGGTACTATGTGGTGTGAGTGAGGGACGAAGATGGTTAATATTACAGAGATGAAAGTAGGAAGACCAAGTGATATTATTTATATATACTAACTTCCCTTTTTCTCATTTATCTATCAAAACTCACCCCTTACGCGTATTCCTCTAACTCTTATTTACAGCAAGAATTATTTTTATATTTACAGCAATACATGGTTATATTCATAGATTAATATTAAGCAGTATTTACAGCAACAAACAGATTATACTCTAGACCAGGGGTGTCGAACTCCAGGCCTGGAGGGCCGGTGTCCTGCAGGTTTTAGATAATACCCTGGGTCAACACACCTGAATGAAATGATTAGTTCATTACCAGGCTTCTGGAGAATTTCAAGACATGTTGAGGAGGTCATTTAGCCATTTAAATCAGCTGTGTTGGATCAAGGACACATCTAAAACCTGCAGGACACCGGCCCTCCAGGCCTGGAATTCGACACCTGTGCTCTAGACTACTAGTCAGCAGTATTTACAGCAGTAATTATACTCAAGGGTTAGTAACAGCTATTTACTAGGGCTGTCAAATGATTACAATTTTTAATCAGATTAATCACAGCCTAAAAATTAATTAATCATGATTAATCGCAACTCGAAATATGACCAAAATGTGTGCAAACATACGGACAGATAGCGGATTTTTACACACTTGTTAGTGTTATTTAATGCTAAGACCACGCTGAGTGAACGCAGGCCACTCAGCGTGGTCTGACGTAGGCTGGGTGTTGTGCTGGAAGCGAATTAATCACAGCCTAAAAATTGATTAATCGCAACTCGAAATATATGTATATATGTGTAAAAATCGGGACAGATAGTGGTTTTTAAACACACTTGTTTGTTTTATTTATTATTAATTGTGAGTACAAGCAGTACAAGCAGAACAGGGCTTCAAATAATTGTGAGGGATTTTTACTGAATGTTTTCCACCCGTTTAAATCTAGCACATTGTTTTATCCATATACATCTTCAAGTTCACAGAACATAGGCCTAATTCAACAGGCAAAATAGAAAAAATCTCCAATCATCCTTTTGGGTAAGGTAGATTAGTGCAAAAAAATATGAACAACAGTGAAAAGTATTGTTTAAATCACATTCAACCATAGAACAAGCTCTAAACACACGGTCCTCTGGTCTACTCATCCTTCAGCCAGTTGCTGAGACAAACCAACTTGTCCACATTCTCTGAGTGCAGAGCAGACCTCTTCTTGTTCACATTGTGCCCTGCTACAGAGAACAGCCTCTCACAGGGCACTGTGGAGGCAGGAGTGGCCAGGTATCTGCGAGCAAGGCGGGCCAGCTGTCTGTGGGCTCCTGCATGAGCTGCCCACCACTGTAAGTGACAGTCCTCTAAGGCAGTGCAGGGCTCTGCTCTGTAGCGCTGTATGGCTCTGTCCTGCTGTACCTCCTCCTCTGACTCAGAGTCAGAGTCCATCTGCAGCAGGCTCAGCCTCTTCTTGGCTGGACCTTCTTCTGCAGTGTGTGATCTTCTAGGAGAGTCTTCATGCAGCATGCCTGCCAGTGTGATCCACACTGCTTCTCTGTCAGTCTTGGGCACACTGCGTAGGTCTTTAAAACGTGGGTCCAGTGCAGTTGCGATCTGGAGCCATGCATAGTTGGTATGTTCCTGGCAGGAAGCAAGGTCTTCCTTAAACTTCTCTTTAAACCTCACCACATATGCAGGGTCCTCATCAGTTACTTCCATGACACGGCGCAGGTGGCAGAAGGCTGGTAGAACTACAGAGCAGGAGACGTAGGCCTCTCCTCCCAGCAGTTCAGTCACATATCTGCAGGGGAATACACACACACACACACACACACACAGATAAGACAGCAAATTTAAAAAAGCTTTTTAATACTAGGTAATATTAATAAAATATTTGATTTCATTTATTTTTTAAATAAGACATTTTCATAATAACAAAACTGATTTAAGATGTATGTTTGATACATTTAATCTAAACCTACAATTATGGTCACAATGACAGGCTCACCTGCAGGGCTCTAGAAGTGTCTCCAGTCTCTGGAGTTTATCCCACTCTGGAGGCATCAGGAGGACAAGTTTATGCTTTTGTTTATCCAGAGTCGCGGTTACTGCAGTTTGGTTGCGGATCAAGCGCTTCACCATCTCCAGCGTGGAGTTCCAGCGCGTAGGCACGTCCTGGGCCAACGGCTCCTGCTTGCGCCCCAGTGACACCTGCTCTGCGTTCAGCTCTGCTGTGTTTGCTGGGCTGTGCTTAAAATGGCCAACAATTTTGCGGCATTTGGCCAGCGCAGTGACAAAGCCACTGTCTGCGAGACTCACTGTGATGCATCTCTGTAGAATGTGCGCGGTACACGGCATGTGATTGAATGGCATGATGCGAGCCGCGGCGATCATATTGCGCGCACTGTCCGTGCCTACTGTTGTCACCTTCTCCTCAATTCTCCACCTGCGAGCAACAGTCTGGAACTGCTCTGCACAAGCCACCGCAAAGTGCCGCTCTTCCGTTTTCATTATAGTCAGCGCAAAGGATGTCAGACCCCAGGCTTCAGTGATTAAATGCGCAGTAACTCCCAGGTAATTGTCATTACTCAATGATGTCCAGTGGTCTCCTGTCAGAGCCACGCATTCTGTGTGAACTAAAGCCTCTTCTTTTTTCCTTTTCTCCATTTCATACAGTTCGTGGATTCGAATTGTTATTGTGCTTCTCGCTGGGGGCTTGTAGGACGCGTCCTGAGATGCAACCTTTAAAACATCCGCAAAGCCCTTGTCCTCCACAATGCTTAGCGGTCTACAGTCCTTTGCTATCCATTTGGCTATATTGTCGGTCAGTTTGTCCAAAGAAGACTTACCGAGTGGCCTGCGTTCACTAAGAGTGGTCTGACGCAGGCCGGGTGAAGCTGCTGCCCCGACAAACGCGTGTTTGGCATTAAGGTGGTATTTTAAGGTCGAATTTGAACGGTGAAATTGAAACTCTTCACTACAGTGAGTGCAAATTACAACGCGTTTGTTTATTGTCCCATCTATGTTCTTCTTGTATTTAAATTCCCCATCCAGAAGGCCATCCTGTTCCTGCTTCTCCATTTTCAGTGGCGCGGTAAACAAATCAAGTGGAATTATGGGAGCGACTTATCTGCGTGTTGCGCTAAATAGTTAAATATTCTAACGTAATTAATTCCAAAATTTAATTATCGCAATTAACGCGTTAATTTCGACAGCTATACTATTTACATATGTACACTTTGGCCGAAGGTGTGACCTTTTATACAGCGACGCACGCAATTTACCCAGCGTGTCCAGACTATCAAACCCTCAGATTCCCACTGTGAGTCCCAAGTCAAGCATTACTTGCTGAGTCCAAAATTCCCCCAAAGCCCGAACAGACCTGACTACAGAGTAATTCACTTGGGTTAACCAGGTTAACTTATCAAGTTAAATGGATAACTAGATTTTCAGTGTTAACCACCGCGAGGGTGCCATTATGTACATAACTTTTCATCAATTCAACTTTTCACTTCTGCGCAGCTTACACATATTCTTCAGATACACTTCCTCGACACTGAAGAATAGCAGAAAAATAAGCCCAAACTCCCCCAACACAGCCCTGGAGTTATACTCCAGCACATGGCAAAGTAGCCTTTTACCCCCCCCCCCCAACACACACATAGCGCTCACTCACACTCCCCCACGGGTCACAGAAGTTACAGGAAAAACACGCTGAATGATGGAGCTGAAATTGGAAGACATTTGTCACGGTCTGCGTGTGATCGTAGGGATGAGGAAAGTAAGCATTGGTAAGCATTGTCAGGCAAACTACTGAATACCGTTGCTGCTAGTGATGTGCGAATCATGAACGAGTTGTTCAATACTCGAGAATCACTTTACTGACTCGTGAATCATGATTCACAAGCCCAACTGACTCATTCACTGACTCATTCCTGTTGCTAAAACTAATTTATTTAGTAGAAATATATCTAGCTTATAATTTAAATTGTGTGGAAAAAAACAACAGCCAGTTTCTTAACAAAAACATTTCTGCTCTGAACTGGGGAAAAAAAAACCCTGAGTAGAAGCTCACATCAAGACAATAGCTCCTCAGTTCACAGTAGCATCGCTCAGCTAACATGCAAACAGCACATTTGACTCACTCACCCCCTCTCTCCTGGCTCACAGCTTCTTCTTCTTCTTCTTGGTCGGCAACCAATGCTAAGGAGCATTACCGCCCCCTGGCTCACGGCTCAGTGGACATTTAGATGAGAAAATATATATTTGACACATTTGAGGAAAATACTAATAAAATAAAAAATAAATAAATAAAATAAATGTTCCCTTTAGAAATCTTAAATTTTTTGCTCTATAAAAAAAGCTGTTTTTCTGTTTTTCAATCACTCATCTTAGCAGTAGGATTTACATGAAACTGGAATAGCTTTATGCATACTTTTTTCCACACTGACTTTCAGGCTTCTTTAAATTCAGCCATTTGTAGGTAGATACATTTTCATCATACAATGTGCATCCTTCTGTTCCTAACTCATTACCTAGTGCATATCATTATAGATATCCAGCATGAATTTTTAGAGACCGCATGTTCCTTTATTTTCTGCATCTGCACAAGCTTTTTTTGACAGGAAATCTTCAATCCATATAAAAGGCCAGTGATATGAAAAAGAGAGGGACGTCTGATAGGAGCTTAAAAAATAATAATAATAATACTAATAATATTAAAAGAAAGAGACTAAATCACTGACAAGTGTTAGAGCTTCGTTTTATTTCCAGCAGTGTATGTGTCATTAGGTTTCCTGTTTTTGATCATCCAGAAACAAACATGGTTTTACAACGTTCAAGTGGTGCCTTTTGTTCAGAATA